AGACAGAGGCTTCTTTATGCACCTGTTCGGAGGAGTTCTGTCCCAATATGGTGGCACATAAATGACCCATTGTAGCCTATTCTTTGTTGCGGGGTATCTGGCGTAAGCAGAGCCTCGCAGGTCTGGAGTATAAGGCCTTGTTGCATTTTTGAATGAGTGCCCTGTTTTGGCCATTTGTGTGATTTTATGCAACCACAGTGTAAAATCAGCTGAGCTTCAGTCATGTCTTACCTAAGAGAGAAAAAACGGAAGAGTAAGTGCATGCCGTTGTTTTAGAACTATCCCGAGATGTGCGTCCGCCCTCACGCATTGCCGAAAAAGGCGCTATTTATATAGCCAAACAAATGGAACAAAGAATTAATGTAAGCAATACTCAACAATGGCACTTGCTGGCTATGGGCAGTGCTTGAGTTCAGAATATAATCAAATTTTGGACGGCCAAAGCCATGTATGGCAGGATTTACTTTGCGGCCAAAAATAACCTATGCTGGCAAGTTCCAAGACAGCAACAGAAAAAGGGGTAGAAAATTGCTTCCAGGGCTGCAGACCAGACAAGATTATACCCCAAGTCTTTGTAAAGGGAAGCGTGAATAGACCCCTAACACTCACACGAGGGGAGGGAACGAGAGCAAACATTGGCTTCGGGTCTAAAAGTAGGGGGTGAGAATTTCGAGGAGAGTGAGCAAAGCTCCATTTAAATGTTTGTGGCCCTGTGCTCTGGGATTTGAGAAAAGTGAATATTCCACTCATCAATAATGTAGGTGAGAGGAGGGGGCAGGGAGGCCGGCGGATGCTCAATAGGTTAATACACTGGCCTTTCACCCTTTGATTCCAGTTTGGGAAGTGTCAGCACAAGAATATATTTTATCTCCCCACCAGGCCCCGTCGGACTGCAACATCTGTCGAAAAGTAGGTTATTAGCAAGGGCGAAATATCTGAAATCAAAATCTGGGCTCTTTCCAGAGTGGAACCTCATTATTAGGTGGCTTGTGAAATTCAATTTGAAAATGTAAAAGCAAACAAAGTAGTTTAAAACTAGTGCATAAAACGGATCAAGAAATGTACAATTCAAGTGTGCTTTCCAGGGGAAAAAAAGTATAATAAATAATAAAATAGAATAACTGTGCTCAGTAGACAATCATACTTCAAATAAATATTTGAAAAAAAAGCTAATTGTTGGAGGTCCCATAAAAGCTTTCTTTTACTGACGGGACATCAAAGGGGAAAAAAGACAAATAGAAAACCAGCAAGCAAACACTAAAACATGAATATTTTACACAAGCACCTAAAAGACAGGAGACTCAAAGGAGACGGCTCTTCCATCTCAGAGAGAGAGAGAGAAATGGCTCAGTGCGAGAGAAAAAGGGATGCAGGTCATTCCATTGTGTTCTACGGACACACTTTATATTAAAAGATGAATTGATCCATCTGTAAGCAGCACTTAGCCTCACTCTTCAGCTCAGTCGTTACACCGGGATAAATCAATATTTAATATCCCCCACCAACAGCCCCAGTAGATGATTTTAACCTCTCCTTAATCCCATTTATGTTACCTTTCCAGAATCTTCCACGTAAGCTTTCACTATGATAAACTTCCAAACAGCAGACTGGAAGGCAGTTATTAAAGGGCGTTCAGTATTTATGTCAGGTGAGGCGATGTGCTGAAATATTAATATTCTGAAACTGACCAAAGTGAAAGCTTTTATCTAGAACACTTAGAGGCATTTTTTTCGTCCGTCAGGCGCGAGCAGCTGGCACGGGCCAACTGTCTGACTGCTGGCAGCGCTGGGTGATATACAGTGGGCGGTTCATTACCGTTTTGCACATGGCTGTAGTAGCTCTTCCCATGACATGTAAAGTGTCCCCTCAGAAACACATTGCTAGAGGGCATTACTGGGGCCTTAACGTTGCAACTGTATCAATGAACTATTCTAGGATGACATGAAACAGTTAGGCCTGTCAATTAATTATTAATAATAATAATAATAATAAAAAATACAAGATATTAATCATGTCCCCAACCTATACGTTAACTATGCAAGATGAGCGAGGAGCTGAGAGGAGAATGTGTCCTGGCGTTCCAAAACAACTAGATAGATTTTTTCCAAAGGTTTAAAAAATACTAAATTAAAACTAATTAAAGGTGAGATGAAAAAAAATGAAAGATAAAGCCAATAATGTCAGTTTTTAATGTGAGTTAAAATAATGAAACTACTATTCAAATATTGCAGACAAAATGCATGTAAACGGTCCCTAAGTCACAAGAAAACGAAATAAAAATAACCTAAATGAAACATTAATTTCAAACCATTGAATACTATTGAATTATTTTGTATTTGCCAAAGTAATGCTGTCTGAAAAGTATTGCTTTATCAGCAAATACTGATATTTCTTATTCAATAAATCAGATTATCACGTAATTCATTTGATCACAATTTTAAATCAGCCCTACCAACAAAATTGAGCAATGAGGAACATTCTTCATATTACGCCGAAAATAATGAATGTCTGCTCAGTCTCATTCATTTGAACTTCAGAGACATATGGAACATATGATGAGGAAAATACAGCTTTCTGTTTAGCCTCTGGTTGTTTGCGACATCAATACTTCTGTTTGGCTTAGCAACAGACTGAGGTGAAGTTGCCTTTATGATATCATCAGATGCACAGGCTTCTGAGCGAGACTACAGTACAAAAGAGGCCTGCCATTTTCTTCCATCGTATTTTAAGGTCATAAACTTACATTCTCCGATAGGGAAGCAACTCAGAAGGAAAAAAAGGCATAGAGAAAGAGAAAGTCTTTGCAAATGATACTTCAAAAAACGAGGGAGTCTTTGTGATGTGCTCTGTAACCTATAGCAACAATGATAACCCAAACATACCAGTCATATTTTCACACTGATAGAGCACCTAATTATTATTTGTCCTTCCCTCCTCTGCCCCTTTCTTTGCACCGCTGGCTGCCCAGAAATACCTTGCCCTTACATCAAAGACCTTTAGGGAAAACACATTTAGCCACAAGCTTAATGTCTTTTTCTCTGGGGGGAAGAAGGTGGAGAGAAACAGAACTGATTTCCTCCCCAAAAACACACAAAGCTCACCTAAGCCGAAATGCCCAAATAACCATGTGAAAAGGCAGGGCCTTACAATCGTGCGAAGACAAAACCCAAGCCAGACAAAAGAGGAGGAGAAAAAAAGCATTAAGCTTGGCCTGCTAAGAACAATGCAGCTGTAGGTGTGTGCTGCCTGTTGACAAACGTGCCTTTTCAGCCATTGTCGGAGCAACATTCATGTCATGTAGCGGCATATTCTCGCGTTTGGCTGACCATGAGCTAACCCCAGAGCAATTTTGGGAGGTAGAGAGGGAAGGAGTGGATGAGTTGAGGCTGGTGAAGGTAAAATGGGGAAAAAAGGAGGGAGGGAGACAGCCACAGGTGATGGCTGCATGTTCACATACCGCATCCACCTCCAAACACGAACAAAGAGTGCGAAATCTCAAAAGAATGGCGCGTAATGCACTGACTTAGGTGATATCTCCATTTATAATGGCTTAGAGTCGGGCATTGTGTTTGAGAAAACAGGATTATGACCCCCACAATGCCTTCCTGAGCAGTAAAGAGGTACTGTAAATTGCTATGAAAAGCAGCAATAATATAAAAACGCGATATCTGACTTTATCGAGGACGTGTTGTGGTCTCAGTTTCCTCCGATGCCACCCACATTGGGGCACGTCTTTCGCCCTGACTTCTAAGTTAATTGAAAAATAGTCCCTCTACTTTTTTACATATACATTGACCTACTTTAAGATGCTGGTTGAAAGTAATCAGGTGCTGAAAAATTAATGAGCCTCCACTCCCAGTTCCTGCCTGCATCTCAGCCAACTGGCAATATCGCATCAATCAGATGGTAGTGGTGTCTGTTTTTCTGCTCCTTGATTGACTCATTGATTGAAGATATTTTTAAAAGGAATCCCTGAGAGAATGCTTGCTCCCGGTACAAAGTGGGCCTGTCCCACACCAGGGGCTGAAGAGGGCTGCCTGTTTGCTTTAATTGGGCAGAGACATCACAGTTTGAACCCACACAGGCCAGGCACCAGAGGACCGCGATGGTCCTCCTCGCTCACAAATGCAAACACACACACACGTACACATTCACCATCTACCCTGCCAATGTTAATCAAAGGCACTCCTCTGGATGTGCTTCAAAGACCTTGACTGATTTTAAAGATCATGTCCGAAAAAACACTGTGGGCTTAAGTCCTTGAGTTTTGGCTGTTGTTGTGTCCTCAGGCAAAAGGGGCAGGAACAAGAGTCAGTTGTGTTGGGTATATTACTTCTGCAATGGAATCTGGTATTGATTGCACATTGCATGAATAAAATTGGGTTTTGAGGTCATCTCATCACTTTGATGACTCGCATACACAAATGGTTTTAATAATAAATAAAACAATAAAATAAAGAGCAACATATTTCTTAAACTATGCCTTTATCAAAAATAGCCCCACATAAAATGTTTTTATGAAAATCTAATTGTAATGACTATAATCGACTAGTTAAGTTGTCTAATTTGCAAATATTTTTTAATTTATTTTTTAATATTTATTTATTTATAGTGTATATATTTTGTGCAATTTTGGCAAGGATTTTTATTGCAAAACAATATTTTATTATATTTTGGGATTTTATTTTATCATATATATATATATATATATGTGTGCGTTTTGTATTTCTATATGAATTTCAAAAGACTTTGACTGAATGGTTTGACAACTTAAAAGAAAAAACTGCAAGACTCTGCGTTGTTGATAGAGGGTACGTTTATGAAATATTTTCACTGTTAAAATAAAAAACAATTAAATCAATGTTATATATTTAATAATTTTTTTTAATAAAATAAAAAAGTTATAGCCTGATTTAAACACTTGATATTAGCGAACTGATTCCATAATTCAAATTCCTTGCAGTACTCCAAAACTTTTTACAGGAGTCAAACACACTCACCTTATCAGCCCTGCAGTTGTTCAGGCCCATGCTGGTGAGGGCGGACAGTTTGGCCTCCATTCCCTGCTGATGGTGCTGAAACTGCTCTCTCTGAATCTGCTCCCTCATCTTCCTCGCTTCCTGGATGGCCTTCATCACTGCATCCTGATCTCCAAACAGCGCTGTTGAGTTCAGGCTGGACAGAATGTCTGCAGAGACAAATCGTTCAGGTTCACATATAAATACACATATGCTTAGGGCCGTATTGTGAAACACAATATAGGAGGTATTGTGAGTACAGTCTGCATGTGTGCACTGTAAGTGTGGCCGACTCCATGTGTGGGGGGGGGAGCAGGAAACTAAGGGAGCAATCTCAGTGTGTGTCGCCTTTCTGTAATTAGTGGATCAAAGTGAGGTGAGGCGGGATGGCAGTTAAATCTCGGAAATAGTAGAAAAACAAACACCAAGCCTGTGTTCAAAGCCCAACTCCAAGAGAAGGAGGGAAATGAGCACTGCTCAACAACACAGTGCCGTTTTAATGAAAGACTGTTTTTAGTAACTGTTAGTAGCAGCTTCCAAAAAAAAAATCTTAATATGAGAGATGAAGTACAAGCTTTGAAAACAAATATACAACAACGCCATCAGTTACTCTTTAAAATGGCAGGGTCTAAAAGAGATTATGAGTTGGGAGTGTGTCAAGTTCACTCTCTGATTTCACACTACAAAGAATCAGAAATATACAATTAGTCTCTCAGCTGTGAGGATGTTAATAATTATAAAAGATTTCACTACACAGAACTCTAAAAGCAGACAAAATCTACAGTTTTACCCAGAGACGAGCCACGGCCCATCCCTCCGATGGGGCTGGGGATGCCTCCGCTCTTGGACAGGCTGTTCGGGCTGCTCTTGTTGCCAGGGAAGAGGATGTGTGTCGGGGATGTGGGGGATCTGACGGGCTCAGCTGTCTTGGGCCGAGCGGAGAGGTTGAGAGGCTGCGTTCCCTCCTCCTGTACATAAAAGACACAAAGCTTCTGTTAAAACAGGGACGCCCTATAGAGAGATGCTTTCCACCTTACATAAAAGACAATGCACCAGAGGCTATTACTGTAGACTAATTAGTCCAACTCCTCCAAGACATGGGTTCTGTATTCATAGCCAGGCTTTGTGCCATGCTGTAGCTCCTCAATGCAGTGAGAGCCAGGCTTTGTTCGGGTTAATTAAAACCCTCTCTTTCCGAGCACACATCTTTATCTTTTCACCTGCTCTCATGCCCAAGAGAAACGGTTAACAGCTAATACATCCTGTTTCAAACAAATGCAATCAGACCAGAGAGCTTGTTGCTGTTGTATTACAATTAAGTGTGTGTGTTCTGATGTCTTTGTGGTGACCAAATGTGGTCCCTATAGGAAGAACAGCTCTAATTTGTGTTCTACGGTTTCATATTTAGGGACATACACTAATGTTCAAAAGTTTTTTTTTTATATTTAATTTTTAATTTTTTTAAAGAATTTTATTCAGCAAGGATGCATCAAATTGATCAAAAGTAACAGTATGTATTTCTGAATGAATCCTTAAAAAATTTATCACCGTTTCCACAAAACTATTTACAAGCACAAATGTGTTAAACATTGATAATAAGAAGAAATGTTTCTTGAGCACCAAATCAGTATATTACAATGATTTCTAAAGGATCACATGACACTGAAGACTGCAGTAATTGCTGCTGACAATTCATCACAGGAATAAATTTCATTTTAAAAATAGATTAAAATAGCTATTTTAAATTGTAATAATATTTCACAAAATCACTATTTTACTATATTTTTTTACTTTAAAAAACATTAAAAAATCTTACCCGGCCCAAAGTAGAGAGCTTGATGCTTAAAACACAAGGTAAAATTTGTGTCAAAACTGCATCATCAATCCAGAACTTTAAAAATGCATCTCATCATATTAATGCATCTTGTGTAGACTAGAAAAAGATTTCACTGTCAGTGTTGTACTGTCCAAACAGATGGGCCACATACAGAGACTGCCCCCATCTCTTTACAAATCTGACTGCCAATAACAGTTTGTCGTTCAATTACGTTTCAACTAGACAAACAAACAGACTGCTAGCTAATTAAGCACAGCATATCTACATAGGGAGTTAACGGGGCAACAATCACGTAACATCTTTGATCAATATTAACATAGTGTATCTCATACAACACGTGTTGGCAAGTAGAGTGTCTAAAAATGCCCGTCCGACTCTGAATTGTGGCTCAGTGTAATTGCCAAGGATCTTACCGTATGCTCTGAGATGTTGATATGTGGCGGCTCTCTCCAAAGGCAGAGCTCCAAAAGCCCTGGAGGAACAGCTTAGCTGAGCGACTGAAGAGGATTGCGGGTGCTACGCACACACTACTGTTTGCCTCAATGATTTACCCCCGTTCTATTGTGATATTAAACTAAACTTTTCCAAATGTGCAAGTGTTTTAGGTTACAGTCGCAGCACAAAAAAGCAAAATGATGATGTATATCAGTGAAGACTGATGGAAAAGCGCTATATGCTGCGAGTGTTGATCTTATAAAAGAAACAAAAGACAGTCATCACATCATTGTAGCCTCATCAATATATTTAGATTATGTGCCTCTGAAGTCATTGCCTTAGTCCGGTCCAAGTTAAATGTAACACGCAGGAAAACGTGGGCCAGTCTCTGTCATGAGAAACCATGTGTTCCAAAAATTGCTCTCCAGGAGCAGGGAAAGCCATAGCAACCCTGTCCACAGAGTTCTGCTTGAGAGAGCGGGTGCCTTGTAAAAGCAGCACAGATTGATGGGCTCGGAGCGAGAGGAGAAACGACTTGCTGCTGTACCTACCATAGCTGGTTTAGTGAACAAGGAAGCGGAGAAGACTAGGTCAAGTACTACTCCATTCGCACCAGACCAGGCTGGGATCGTACCTTGACTTGAGCCAGGGGGGTTGAAGCCCTCTTTTCATTCTTCAAGCCAGACGGGGAGATCGGCCCAGTAGAATTGGGGGGCTGGGACAGCAGAGGCATCTTGGCTCCTGGAGAGACCTGCATGCTGGCCAGCTGGGCGGCGTAGAGTTGCTGTAAGGAGGGAGACAACCCACAAGGCGTTAACATCCAAAGCCAGACACCATTCAAAGCCTTTATTCTCTCTTTTCTTCTCTCCCTCGCATTGCTTTTTCCCTTTCCATCCGGCATAGGAGCTCCATCAAAGGTCTAACTGTATATCAAAGCTTGGATCCAGGGAGAGACAGCAGCCCCAAAAAACCACACAGCAATGGCACGCATACAAGAGGCTTGGAGCCACTCGTCTTTCCACTCATCACGCAAAATTTGCAGACTGAAGCCTAGCTGCTTCTAAGATCTGATTTCCTTCCCCTCGCTCCCTCAAGTAAGCCCCTTCGACTTTAATTGGCGCCTTTTCGTGTCGCTACGCAGACACCTGAACTTCCCCCTTCGATGGCGCAACGCACATCCTGCCAAAGTTACACAAACTCAAGGTAGTCGAGTTTCAGTTACTCACTCTATCAAAGACATTCAATAAGACAGGAAGCCTGACAGAGAATTCACATTCTTCTGCTTATTTTCACTGGCTCACGGTCAACACGCTCGCTAATATCAGCAACCTTCCAGCGGTACACATTCAGCATGCTGAAGTGCTGCATGTCAATCACTTATCAGAACTGAGCAGAGAAAGTGTGCGGGAGAGGTTTAGATTTCAGCTATGAGACCGAGTGACTGTCATAACCTATTGGGAATGATTTTTATTTCAACAGATTGCTAATACCCACACAACATGCAGAGAAAATAAAAAACAAAAAATAACAACTGCACCATTCAAAAAAACAAAGCAGTGTTAGATCAAAAGGAACAATTAAATAGAAAATCCTGGGTTAGAATGTCAAATTGTACAACATTGTATATTGACATTTGTTTTAGCACGTTGTATTATTCACAGACGCTTAAAACAATCACACTTCCTTTCAGCTCTCTAGTGAGAAGACAGATGTATGCACGGCTGCTTTCCCTCAGGCAAATATTGATTAGCGAGCAGGTAAATGCTTTTATTGTCTTTTGTCTCTTACATTAAGAGGAATCACACCAGGCCACGGGACATACAGTAAATGTTAAAAGAGGATAAAATCAGCTCTGAAAACATTGAAAGTGCATGAAACAAAGACTTGAAACAGAGACTGGAGACAGTAGAGATCTGTATAATCTAACATGAAGGGGACGAATATTTAAAGTGTATTCCAAGACAGGGTTATTCGAATAAAGCTGAAATAAAATATAAATATTAAAACAAAAAAACTTAAACTAAACAACTTAAATTATAAATGCTGCCTTTACAACTACTTGAAATATGGTTAAGTTGAAGCACTAAATTTACTAACTGGGAATAAAAACTAAAAATGGCAAAACCACAAAATTACAAAATTTTATGTACAAATAAATGCGAACTCAAAATATCAATAAAAACTATAATGCTATGTAAATAATATTAAAATAACACTGTTCTAGCTGTGTTATGATTTCATGTGCATTATACACAGCTCCACTTTTTATTTTTATGGTGATTTTATAGGTAACAGCCATATATATATATATGGCTATATTTTATTATTTATTTATTTTTCTAATGTATATACTGATAGTCAGTAAAAATAGTAGAATAGTCAGTAAAAATACAGCCCAATGTACCATGTTAATATGAAAGAAAATTATTTTGTCATAAGTTTCAGTGATAAAATATCACCCTTTAATGAATCAGACGGATCGGTACTATATTTTGCTCACTTTATGATTTTACACGAATAAGCCAAACCCAAAACTACAATGCCAACATTTAAGCCAAATTTTTTCAGTCTCCCCTAAAAATAGCGGCCCAGTGCTATTATTCATATGTTTTTACAGCCTCAGAGTCCTTGTATTTTCAACCCCAAAAAACCATAGAGGTTTTTCTGAATGCGTATGTACCCCAGAGTGTTTGCCCTCTCTCTGCTCTCATTTCCTTTCCTTACTGGGCTACATAAGGACTCCATTTGTCTGAAATGGAAAAAGTGGCACCAGCATTAGTGGCCTGCCCCACCTCAGCCACTCACATAGAAAAACCTGAGCCCAGACAAAGCGCTTTGTGTCTACATGTATCAGGAGATATAAACATTAAAATGCTCTCCGGTACCAAAGTTAAACGCTTGCACATTAGTGGCACACAAAGGGGTCATTCTTCTGCGGGAGACCTGGGGCAAGCGCCGGCACACGGACAGCGAAAATGGCAGGCTGATTAGGTTCACACAGTGATAGTGCAGCTCGCCAGCCTGGTAAACAGAAAGCCTTTGTCCTGCAAAGCAAAAAACACAATCGCTATTCTTTTTTCTCTCTATAGGTAGTAAGTGAACGTACGTGTGAGTTTGTGTGCTTGTGAACAAGAAGGAAGCCCTCGGCCCAGTCTGCTGGACAGATGTTTGTTAACAGCGCTGCTTCTGCTGATGTGGATGGGCAGAGGGACTCTGACCTTGCGTGGGAAGAACTTTATTGTTCCGGAAAAAGAGCGTAATTGGCTTTTGCTTCAAATTAGAGCCAGTCAGACTGCCTTTTGTGAGGCCTGATTAACGGGTCAAAGCCACAGGGTTACGAGTAAAGCGGTCCGCTAGAAAGACACAGGCGGAAAAAAAAACAATAAATACTAATGGAGAGGTGTGACACGTAGCAAGCTTCTTATTGTCAAGGGCAGGAAAGGAGAGGATGCTTGCAAATGTGTCACATCGAGCTGTGCACAGTGCGGCTTGTGTATTAAGGTCATGTGTTTTGATGCTGAAAGGTGTGAAGATAGACAAAAGGAGAGATGTGCTGATGTGGTGGGAGTCTGTCTGAAGGGCATGTAATGCAGGGCTCCACTGGACCTCCTCTGCCTCTCCTTCAGCCATACTGCAGGGTCTCCACAGCAGACAAGGCCAACGCTAATGAGGGTCATGCTGAAAGTCAATGGCTGAATAGGGAGTGGGGCAGCCGGGACAAGCTGGCTCCATGCCCCCTGCCCCACAAAACTAAAAGGCTGAGCATGGTCAATCTTATCATTCTTCAGTCTGAGTTAACAGAGTCTGTTAATGCTTTAAATCTAGCTATAATAATTAAGCTTCCACTCTTTCTGTTTCACAAATGAGCAGTGAAAGATAACATATTCACAAGGATTTTCATGGGCATCGTCTTCTCAGGAATACTTAACACATTCTGATGATTTCTCATATAATACAGGCATTTCAACTCTAATCAATATTTCATGTGCATTTGGGCCATACCATCTGTTGTAGAAGTCTTTGTTCATACAAAAATCTCTCTCAATTATAACAATATTTGCAAAAAGAATGTTTGGGAATCTCAAATAGATACTTTCTACTGGCACACTTAAATGTTTTTGTGACTTTTGCACAGTACTGTAAAAAAAATAAAACAATCAAACTTAAAAACATATATAATATGTACAAAATATGTATACAGATTTAATAAATAAAACCTCTCAAATATAAGTAATAAATATAAAATATTTAAATTAATATTAAAAATATCAATAATAAATATAAAATCTTTATATGACACTTCCCGAACATCCATTAAATATAATATAATGTAATGTAATTATTGGTTTTGATACTTTAAAAGAGGAACAAAAGATGAGTGCCTCTGGTGTATAAGCAGCAATCTAACACAGTGGAGAGCTATTACAGTGTGTACTGAAGCTGCTGGCTCTGAGGAAATGGAAGCTGATGGGGACAGAACACTAGTGTTGCTGGAGAGAAAGAGAGAGGCCAAAAGCGAGCTAAAGGAAAAGAGAGGCAGAGATGTTGAGCTGCTCTCAGCATGTGGTTTCAGAAAGGCCTGCAGAGAAAAGGCCTGATCCACCCCAGTGACTCAGGTAATACCTTTGTCCACTTGAGCATTAAATGACTCGCTGCTATACAGCTTAGTTAGAGAGAGAGAGTGGCTCGGGGAATGGGGGCTT